CGTCAAGCGACCGTTTCAAAAATATAACATACCATGATTTTCATACTATTTCGATTTGTACGTACGTGGAATTAAAAGAAACTACAAGAAGATATATTACGGTCGGAAAGGTTTTATACGCGTCCCCTTTCGCGAGAAAAAGTTGTTTTCAATTTTTTTTTTACCCCAACGACTGTGCATATGTCACTTGTTACCGGCTTTAAAAGTGCCTTAATGTTTGTTCGTTTTATTTTTCATATCCGCAAAGGAAGCGCGGCCTGACAAGAAACATAAAGTGTTTTAAACTTTTTGTATGTTGTTGGTTAGTTTGTTTGTTTGTTTGTTTCTTTTTTTACCAAACAGATTCGTTATAAAGTATAAAAACACAATTTACTTTTACAGCTAACACGTTAAAAATTTGATTTTTCGTAAAAAAACAAACAAACACGGTATAAATGGCTTTGCCGTATATTTAAAGGTAATCTCAGGACTTTGGAGTGCACAAATATAACTTTTATAGCAACAGCAAAATGGAACATGGCTTTATGGCCGTAAAAAAAAACCAACGTATCGGCCAGGACTAAGGTTTGTAGGCCCGCATTCATACAGTTTTTTGTTTCTCGATCGTATCATGCGTCAAATTAATTTTAGAATGACTCTATCACTTTGATATTATATAACTCTCCTAGCTATGCTAAAAGAATATCTTTTTTCTGTCATCAACTGGCATCTTTGCCGTCATTTTCTTTAATAAGATTCAGTTCCACAGCGGTCATCAAAGCTCTTTCAGCGCATGCTCTAACCATTGACATGTCAGGATTACTGTCTTTAGAGAAAACCATCAGGATCTCGAGAATTTCACTTTCGATCACCTGCGATGAACAACAAAAGAAAAAAGAAAGATATTATATTTTATTGAATAAAGCAAATTGCTTGAATGAGTGCTTTGACGTAACAGATTGATTCATATAGTCAGTTGGTCCGTCATCCTGCAATTCCGAAAGTCAGGACGACCTCCGTCTGTCTGTCCATCAGACAGACATTCGATCAGAAATTCAATCAACCAGTCAGTCATTCAGTCAGTCAGAAAGTCAGTCAGTCAGCCAGTCAGCCAGGCTGTCGTCACGTCAGTCCGTCAGTCTATCAGTCAGTCAGTTTGTCAGTCAGTCGGACAGATTGTGGGTCAGTCAGTGAGTCAGTCAGTCAGACGGACGGCCAGCCAGTCAGTCAGTGACTCAGTCAGGCTGTCAGTCCGTCAGCTAACCTGGCTTTCTTTACGTCCATCTGTCTGAAAGTCCCTTTGTCTTCTTCACTCCGACGAAGGGCCAACGCTCGAAACGTCAGCTTTTATAATCGTAACGGTGGCCAATTTACCATTTCAACTTTGTTGATTTATTAAAATTATTTCGTTACCCCCACCGACGCAGCCTCAAACAGTTTCTTTAGAAACTATCGGCCTTTATTGATATGTCTATAAGTAACTCTGTCGATCAGTCAGTGGCTAAATGTGCCATGTGTCAATTAGTCCTAAATCAGTTTCTCTTCCCATTTCTCGCACTGTAAATCATTTTATACGACTCTAATTCAGCTAATCGTCGGTCGTCCTGCAGAATGGGTGATTGAATAAACCTGATGAAGCAGAGAATCGATCAAACAAATCCTACCTTTGCAGCAATGTCCTTGTTAGCGGCTATCATGTTGGCTGCGATATGAGCTCCTCTACAAAAGAGAGTGGTGATACCATTTGCGTTAACTTTGTTAAAAATTTGACATGAAATTTTCATTCTCGGAGGGTCAACGCTTGGAGAGAAAAGTCTAGCGTTACCTGTGTCTGAGCTCGTTTTTCTCGGAAACCAACAGCTGCTTCTGAATATCCATGTAAGACGCGACCTGCAAAGTAATGTAAAATTATAGAGACCATAGAAAAGGAATATGTTTACAAAAAGAGAGAGAACCTGTCAACACAAGCTGAATCATCTGCCATACCTTTAAAATCTGTTTGCACACTTTCTCGCTGGAGGATAGGACTGCTAATGCACCAGAAGCCGCTCTAATAATGAAGAAAAAAAAATACATAGATCATAGAATTGACTAAATCAGGGCCCCTGCGTTTTAGCATCTTGATACCAATTTTTTCCAATGTTGCCGGCCAAGGCACTTAAAAATGTACCCAGACGACTTTCAGTTAAGTTTATTACCAAACAGAAAATGTAGTTAGGTTTTACATCACGGAAATGTTTAGGACGAATCTGCTCCATATCTGGTCTACCATATCGGCAGCAACAATCCATGAAAGAAACAAAGCCTGCAATACAAAGAACTCTTTGCTTGTCTGTTTGAGTCCTTAAACATGCAAGGGTAACTTCTGCTGCGAGAATAAAAGAGTAGAGAAGTCGTTCTTCAAAAAGCCTAGAATTTCTAGCCATTTTAGCAGACACATCATCACAGTCTAATCAGTTATTTTACGTTCCTGGAACTTAGTGGGCTCTTGGGCTCGAACCACAGCTGCCCGCGCTCTTCAAATTGAGCTCACCAAGGAGCGGATGCCCTTAAAACATAAATTTCTGGGTCAACCCCTTGTGACATTACAGAGGAAAAGAGACAGAGTACTTTTCTGAAACCTACAGAACAGTCGAAAGACAAGAGGTATGCATGAACATCTCACCGTGCCAGTTCAAAGTCTTCTTCGCCTGACAACAGGGTCAAAAGCTTCACTCTTTCTGTGGGAGCGTCTTCTTTTTCATACAATTTGAATACCTGTCGCAAAGCAAAAACACAGAAAGAAAAAAGAGGAAACAGCGAAACGAATGTACCGTTGACGCATTAAAGTTCTGGTCGTGGGGCTTATAAATGGAAGGGGCTTCGTAGAAGATGAGAGGGGAGGGAAGGGGAGAGGTTTATGTAAAACTTTCCTAACCCTTTAACCCTTGGTTTTCATAATCTCCTGACTGTTTTCCTCAAATTTCCTCTGGCACTGACAAGGAGAATTTGTATGACAATCAGGAGCTTCCTAAATTGTGATCATTACCTTTATTCTCATGACTTTAATGTGTGATTCAGGGGTGATATTGCAGTGAGAAATTAGTAGCCAGTCACATTTGGGGGTGAAGGGTTTATCATCAAGAACTCCTCAAGTTGCAGATCTTTTCTTTAATCTGAGTCGTGACCTTCACGGTTGATTGAAGGAATGATAAAAATCAGACTCCAGTCACCCCTTGGGTTTAAGGAGTTCATCGAGAAAGGGGATGTTATCAGCAAGCTTAAGCACTGCTATGGACCTACGTTAGAGTCCGGTTAGAGTTACGACAAAAGACTACATCTTTGATAACGATCGTCGAGATCTACTC